GTGGGAGGCCACCGGCTGCGGGTTGGGAGCAGGCAGGGGCGTCCGCCTGGGTCTAGGGGCACAGATACACTTTCGACCTGCCCTGCGGCCAGGACCCACGCCCGGACTGCGCCCGAGCCAGCGTCCCGCGAGGCCCCACGGTTTGGTTCCTCCGGCCGCGGGAACCCGGCTCGTGCTGAGCCCTCTTCGAGGAGCGCAAAGCCAGGGGACACGAAGCAGCTCCGCTCGGCGGGGACCGGGAGGCCCGAGCGCGGAGCCACGCAGCAGCTCAGTGCGGAGCGTTGGAGGGTGGCCGGCGTTCCGGGGTCGTCCTCCGCGACCCGCGGCGCTCTGCTCCCGGCTCAGGGGCAGGAAGCAGTGTGGCGCCTTCAAGGCGGCGGCAAACTTCTGCTTCCTTGAGCAAAGCCGCAGTCCTGCGAGGGCGTCTTCGGAAGACGCCTCCGGAGCCGCGCGGTGGGGACAAAATGCTGCCTGGGCGTCCCTATCCGCGGGACCGGGCTACGGGAGTACCTGTGCTCGCCTCGTAGCGACACCCCGGTTCTCTCCAAATCCAGTCTCCCTCTCAGAGTAGCAGAGCAACCAAATTCTGGAGGCATTCAAGGCGGGCAGCCGGAGGCAGAGGAGAGCGCGCGCCCGCAGCCTCCCCTGTCGGGCATCCGCGCACGCACTTCTTTGGCCCTTGGGCTGGCTCAGCGGAATCCGCCCAGCCTACGTACCGGGGACTCCAGAGGCTGTCATACTGTACCCCCGCACGCTCCGGGCAAGCCTGTGGTGGCCCGCGTCTGGGCCCGTGATCTCTGACGGGTTGGGGGCCAGGCGCACGCCCAGATAGCACCCCACCCCCGCCTTGGAGAGGGCTCTGGCTGATGCCCCAGCCAACCCCTCCGAGCTGTTCTCTGGGAACAATGGCCCCACCTGGGGCTTTATTACAGGCTCTTAGGGGTTGAGGAGGTTGGTGTGGGTGGGAAGCGTTCTTGTTCCAAAAGGCAGGCATTAGGAGAGATTTAAACTTTCTTACGTACAATGGGGCATAGGTGAAGGTCGGTGGCTTCCCTTTGGGAGCTCCCCGTCTGACCTGGCTTCCTGCCAACATCCTGTAACGTGCACGCAGGCCAGAGACAATTACCTCCGGCCCAGGTTCATGGCAACAGGTTTGGGTGGCACCGTCAGTGCACTGGTGAATTCCATTATCAGGTCACCAGCCAAAGGCCCCGTCCCCGCCTCCCCAGGCGCTCCAGTGCAGGCCGTGAGCTGTGGAGCCCAGGTGCTGCTCTCTGCGGTGGGGGTTTGAATCCCGACTCGAACACCTGTGTGCACAGGCAAGTCCCTCAGCCTTAGCTTGCTCGTCTGCCTGATCAGGAAATGAGCTCACTGGGTGGCTGAGAGGCTCCAGTGGGCTCCAGGTTCTGCGCAGAGTCAGTGTGGAGAAATGCTAGTTTTATTTCCCTTCCAGCTTTGAATTCTTCTCCTTGGAGGAGACTTCCCAGACGCTCCCTTATTGTACCTCCCGCCCAGGGGTTTCTGCCTCCCCTGAACAGCCTAGGTCACCTTTTTTGGGTGCGTGCTGCCTTCAGCAACCCCGCCTACTCCCCCAGCTGGGCTTGGCTTTGGGGAGGGCCAGCGGGCGCTCAGCCCTCACCTCTGGGCTCTGTGGGAGGCAGAGGGGTGATGGGCCTTCACAACTCTCTCCAGGTATCCTGGAGATAACAGCAGTGGAGGTGGGCGTGGTGGCCATCAAAGGGCTCTTCTCCGGGCGGTACCTGGCCATGAACAGGAGGGGACGGCTCTACGCTTCGGTGAGTCCAATCTCTCATGCCTCGGGGTTGGGGGACAGAAGGCACAGATGGAGCAGCCATCTCCCTTGAACATCACATCAGAGGACAGAGGGGCCATGGGCAGCCTAATGCTTTGTCCAGGGATGTGCAGGACCCGGGCTGGGACCAGAACCCCAGGCCCTCTGGCTCCTTGCTCAGTGCTCTTACGGCTGCTTCTGTTAGAGGCAGCTGCCAGCTCGAGTGCGCTGGAGGGGTAGCCATGCTCTATATTATATTCTCCAGCTGCTGTCAGGTTAGAAAATGTTCCTCCAGGCATTTTGTGGTCACCTTCAAGGTAGTTGAGAGTAGGATAGAGACTGTCTCCTAAATTCCTCCTAAGATAAATGGACCCAAGTGTACCTTGGGATAAAGCAAGGGTGTGCGTTGGGCAGAAGCTCTCCTGTGGGCTCACCCAGAGCTCTCCTGGGAGCAGAGAGGGGTGGAGGCAGGGCGGGGCACAGCCACATCTTCCCGAAGATAGAAAGGCAAGAGCTGTGAGTTCTGGGGAACCAAGAGAAAGCTATTAGTTCAAGGAGCCAGGAGGAAGGGAGATGGGACCCACGTCCCGGGCACACAGGCTTGGAACCCAGTCTGTGTACCGCAACAGAAAAGGTCCTGTGACTGTGGGCATCGGCCATGTCCCTCCCTCAAGGGCAGGGAATACATGGAGTGAAATACATGTGCTAGGAAATCTGTTACCTCCAACCAGTCATTATGTGCAATTCGGCTGATACTCCCTGGGCAATGAGGGGTCTTCCATCCACACGTCACCTAGACGACGCAGCCGAGGACCATCTCGCTGCTAAGTTACCTCTCTCTGTCCAGTCGTATCTGCAGGGGAAACACACCAACATTTCCCTGCCCCTCTGAAGTCAGGCAACGCGTGATCAAGACGAACTGCAGGGAAATCCTCCATGAAGCCTATTGCTTCCTCACAGAATTTTCACGGCTTTGCTGAAGGAAACGCGCCCATTTGTTTTCTCTGACCTGGGGGCCCCTTGACAGGCGCTGGGTCTGGGAGCAGGGACCCTCAGGTGCCCAGCCTCTTCTGTATGTGCTTCTAGAATATGCAAACCCCAATTTGGTTGATAAGGACGTGCCCTTCACCTGAGTCTAGTCTGACTTTTTCCTGAGGTGGGCTGTGGCCTTCCAGACCCCTCCGACCCCGCGCCCCTGGAGCCGAGGGAGCGGAACTGACATTCCGTTCCTGAAGTGGTCTCAGAGCACCCACAGTTGCTCCCATCCCTATGGGGAGAGGACCCCTTGTTGGCCTGCAGTGAGCTTACTGCCCAGGTCTTACTGCTCAGAGAGGGTCTCCTCCATCAATGCTGGGAAAGTTCACAGAGCGGGGCAAGTAGGCTCAATCGGGAGGCGAAGCCTCAGGCCTCCGCCATCTCTTCCATGGGAGACCCAGGTCTGGGGCCTTGGGGGACAGAACGAAGCAAGCCTGGGCGGATCCCAGTGGGTCAGAATCTCCCTGTGGCTTCTGTCCCCGAGAGCTGACTTTGGAGACAGAGGAGGAAAGGTTCTCAGCCCCCCTGGGGAGAGCCAGGAGGTCCAGCTGATGGTACAGAGCTTCTCAGGGCACCTGGGAGGCAGAGAGGCTTTCGCTGCTTTGCAGATAACCTGGGAGGTGGGGCAGCCCAGGTGCCGTCCCTGCCGCTGGCCACCCCTTGTCCCCATCCTGGGTACCGTCAACTTGCCTGTGAGTGCTGTTCCCACTGCCCTGCCTCTTGGCTGTCTGGATTCCTCACCATCACCCTGCTTCTCACCTCCCAGGCTGGCTCATCCACTCCGTGGGTCTGTGGCCATTGTGCCCTGACAGCCCCCAATTCCAGCCCTGACTTCCCTTCTGAGTTTTAGATCCCCCCAAATGTCCTGATGGCTCAGAGACCCCCGGCAGAGGGCAGCACACCCCAGCTGAACTCCGTGACTCCCCTGGCCCCCCTGCCGTAGTCACTGCGCCACCGCCACCGGCCGTGCACTCAAGCCGAGGCTCAGCTGGCAGTCACGGTGGGCGCCTCCTCCTCTTGCAGCCCCGCGTTCGGCCCCCTCAAAGTACTCAAGTATTCCTCCCGAATCTCTCTCTTCGGTCCACACCCCTCACCCCCTCTGCCCTATCCCCGTGGCTGGTGCCCTTGTAACTCAGGCTCTCATCCCTTCCCAGCTAGACCATCGCGACAGCCTTGGGCCCAGCTACTGGCCTCCCGGCTCTCCCTCCTCCAGTCCGTCTTCCCTTCCTTCCTTGCACCCATCTGCCCATCTACTCATCGTCTGTATATACAAACTTCCTTCCTTCTTTCCTTCCTTCCTTCCTTGCACCCATCTGACATGCACTCCTTCATTCATCACTGTCTTGGGCACTTACCGTATGTTATAGTCTGTGCTAAGTATGTGCTTAGGGATCTTCCTAAGATGCAAATCTACTCATGTGATGGCTTCCGGGAACTCCGCATCACCACAAATTATCACCCAGACTCCTTAGCTCAGCCCACAGGGGAGTGACCCAGGCCACTTTCTCCCACCTCTCACCATCACCCCGCAGCTCGCGTCCCCATTCCAGTCTCTGGACCCCTCGATTCTCCAGAACCAGCACTGCTACTCACCCTTCCATGCCTTTGCCAGGAAGGTACTGTCACTGTCTGGAGTGCTCCTGCCCCAAAACACGCACTAGAAATTGCCCTCTCCTCCCTAATGATTCTTTCCAAATGTCACCTCATTGGGGAGAGATCTGCCCTCTTTGCAGACCCCCTGCCTTGTCCCCACCTCTGCCAAACCCTGCTGGCTTTTCTGAAACAGCACCAAGCACTGGCAGAACCGTGCAGGAAAAGTGGTCTCTCCAGGGGCACAGTCAGCAGGTGGAGCCCAGGGTGGGAGTGACTCTGGGGGAGGCACCAGTGGAACAAAGGGTCTGGGCTCTGGGCACAGCAGGGAAGGGCCAGGCACTGGGAACAGTTGTCACCGTGAGGCTGTGATGCCTTTTTCCGGGTCTTCTCAGCCCCTGCCCCCAGGATCCCTTACAAGGTGCAAGCAAGTACCCTGTCCCCGAGACCCCCCTCTGTAGGGCCGGAGCCCCTCGCCCTTCGAGGCTCACAGGACTGTGCCCCTTCAGTTGCCCTCCAAGTATCCCAGCAAAGAGAAAGCCCACCGGGCCTGCCGGTCGGTGGGCCTCAGCCCTGGAGGACGTACCTTCTCTGGGACAGAGGGGCCTGTGAGGAATGTCGTCCTGTCACTGTGTTTCTCATAGAAACTCAAGGCGGGGCGGGCGCGAATGCAGTGTGCCAGGCGTGGGGGTGGGGCAGGTCTGCCCTGGGCCCCCTCACTAGCCCCAGATGGCCTCTGAGCCCCACGATATGTGGGGTGCAGGCCGGAACAGCATCAGGTCCCTCTGGGGTCTGGGGTCTGGGGTCTGGTGCCACCCCTAGGCCTCAGTTTCTCCATCTGTCAAGTGCGGAAGTTGGTCTGGGGCAGTGGCATCCGTCCTCAGACCCAGGGAGTGCTGGCATCCCCTGTGGGGGCAGGGAGCAGAGAGGGGGTGGGGTTACGGGGAGAGGCACTGCCACCCTCGATTCTGCCGAAGCTCTCCACCTTGACCCCGGGACTTCCGTGTCACTGGGAAGAGGCATTCCGTGTCACCGTCTCGCTTCCTGAGGCCCTTTTGGGTCACACGCTGCCCACTTGGTGGGTCTGGCCCCAAATGGCCTGTGGCCCCTGAGAATAGGCCTGCCGTCCATGGAGCCGCCTGCACTCAGTAGCTGCCCCCCTCCTTCTGCCGATGGAGACAGACCCCAGGGGTCTTCTGCTCCTGCTCCTGGGGCCAGTCCCAGGAGGGAAGGCCAGTCCTCCTGGCCAGCTTGCCCTGCGCTCCAGCCCTGCCCCTCGGCACAGAGCGGGGAGGGAAGCCTTTGGCACGCCCACGCACCCACAGCTGGGACGGAAGCCTCAACTGGGTTGGCACAAGGCCACCCCTCCCCCACCCCCAACTCAGGAGGCACCACAGCAGCTCATGGGGGGCTCTGGTGGAAGTACCTTCTATCCTGGGTTTATACCTTTGTCCCCGAGACGCCCGCCTTCAAGAGGGCAGGGACCCACATGCCCCCACCCTGTCCCAGGCTGACGTGGACCCCTGGCAAGGTCCCCCCCTACCCAGCGCTTCCCTCCTGGCGCCGCATCCTTGTGGCCCCCAGCCCCTGACCTCGGCTCCCGCCCCGCCCCGCAGGAGAGCTTCAATGCCGAGTGTGAGTTTGTTGAGCGCATCCATGAGCTGGGCTACAACACGTATGCCTCCCGGCTGTATCGCACGGTGCCCGGCGGGCCCGGGGCCCGGCGCCAGCCCGGCACGGAGAGACTGTGGTACGTGTCCGTGAACGGCAAGGGCCGGCCCCGCAGAGGCTTCAAGACGCGCCGCACGCAGAAGTCCTCCCTGTTCCTGCCCCGCGTGCTGGACCACAAGGACCACGAGATGGTGCGGCTGCTCCAGGGCGGGGCCGGGCTCCGTGGAGGTCAGTCCAGGCCTCCTGGCAGGACGGCCCGGCCCCTGCGGCAGCGACAGCGGCGGAGGCGGCGGGGCCGAGCTTAGCCCTGGCCTGGGGAGTGGAGGCCTTGAGCGTCTCGGCCCCGCAGCTGGGCTCCAAGCTCCGGCCGCCCAGCTGGAAGGTGCGGACCAGCCAACGGGTGCTCGGTGTTCACGGTCAAAGCAGACCGCCATGCATGCCCTTCATGACTCGGGGCTGGCTGCTGTTTCCAGGGTCGACAGAGCATCCCAACTCTTCCTGCTTCCCTCAGACAAGGGTCCTGTCAGAGCTAGAGGCCCCGTGTTGTGACTCGGAGGGAGCCTGCTTTAAGCCAAGACACTTGTGGGTCAACGTTGGCCTGGGGCGCCCCTCGCCCAAGGGGTGACCAGCTGAAGCCACGGATCCTGGCCGCCCGAGGCGTCTCCCTGCAGTGCCGCTGTGGGATCGCGGGGCTGGAGGGGGTTGTGATCAAAACATGAAAGTATTTTATTCTACTTTGTTATTTAATAGATTGTGCTGCAGCCCAAGGGAGCACCTGCTGTTTTCACTTGAGCGTATTTGCTTGTGACGATGGCAGAGTCTGTGCCAAGCCGGTATTTTAAGATGGATGATTGTATTCTGAGAAATTAGGCTCAGGACGCATTTTAATCTCCTGGTTTGGGAAGTTACTATTTTTCGAAGCCAAATGTGGTTTGTGGGGAGGGAAAGAAGTTAATGCATGTGTGTGTGTGTGTGAATTCCCGTGTCTGCGTGCATGCGTGTGGCCGTGTTCCTGTCCCGTGTGTGCAGGAATGTACGTGTGTGTGCTTGCGTGTTCCTGGTTGCGCATCGGTGCGTGCGTACGCACACACACATAGAGAGAGAGAGGGATTTACTTTGTTTAGGAATCTGGAAAACTGCATCGTGAAGCCGTGTGCTTCTCCGTGGACAATTGCGAGCCCCTGGACTGCAGGGCGCGGCCATCCCAGAACTCCTTTATTCTCACAGCCTGCTACCAGGGCCTTGAGCACTCCTGCCTTTGCCTAAGAAATGGACGTTCGGAGAGGTGATGTGGTTCGCTGGAGTCCACGGCCAGTAGGTGGCTAACCTTGCCTGCCCACCCTGCACACCTGCTCCTCCAACAATGGCGGTGGGCGGGGTCACCTGGGGCAGGCCCAGGTGAGAGCCGAGGGGCAGGTGCAACGCATTCAAGCTTCCTGGACCTTGCAGGGGGCAGCCCTCCCTGATGGCCAGGGCGCAGGTAAGGCGTGTGTTGTTGTTGTTCCAATAAAACTTTATTTACAAGACAGGCAGTAACTGGGTCTGGCGGTGGGCCCCAGTTGCTGAGGAGGCCAGGGTCTCCACGCGCAGGCCGGAGGCTCCGGGCCCTGGAGGCCCTTCTGTCTCATAACATCCCCGGGGCTGCCAGCCAGCTGCTGGGCTCACAGGACACGCAGCCCCGGGAGAAGCTCACACTGTAGGTGACATCTGCTCCCTCCCCCTGCCGGGTGTAATGCACCTGCAGGCAGCTGGATGGGAGCTCCCAGGGCGGGCTGGGTCTCAAGACCACTCAGGACTGCACCTCCAGGCTGCTGGGCGTCGTTTAATAAGCCGGCTTCCTCCTGCCCAGACCTGGGGTCTCCCCAAATCAGCAGACCCCAGACAGGAATTCCCTGGGGAGCTTTTAGGCACCCCACCCCTGCCCTTCCAGGCTCAAAGGGGCGGCTGCCACCTGCCCAACCCAGGTCACATGTGCACAGGCGCCCCAGGCACCAGGGCCTGTGCCCCCGCCTGGCCTCACAGTCCTTTGGGCCAAGGAGAGGTTGGTCCTGTGGCTTCTCATAAAGTGCCCTGGCCACTCTGCTCCCCAGCCCTTCTGGGCTCACCCACACTAACCACACACACACCAGGAGGCCGGCTTAGCACTGACACCTGTGTGACAATGGGTGAAAATCTTGGCGAAGAGCAGCAGGGCATAAAGACAGGGACTCTGCTCCGGGCCACCGCCCCCCCCCGGCAATCCCGATTCCCAGGAATTTTTCTGCCCACTGCAGGAACCAATGTTCAGGGCGACAATTGTGAATGGCTGCTCAGTCTGGGCCTTCCCCTGGTCGCTTGTTATTTATCTGGAATACGATGGAGCAGATGCTACCTTCGCTCCCATTCTGCAGATGAGGAAACTGAGGCTAGGTCAGGGGAGTTCTTCCCTGCCTGTAGTCAGAGGGGTGCAGCAATGTCGCAGCCACTCACTGCTTGGAGATCAATGGTCCCTAAAGAAGATGGAGGAGACATTAGGGGATCTCGGTGAATATTTAGAATAGGTTCATACTGAGGACAGGCTGTGCTGAGGTCAGGCCTGAGCCCTCTGCCTGCCAAGCAGCTTCGTCTCAGACGTGGGTCAGAAGGGAGTTAGGGGCTGAATTGCTTCCCCCCAAAGTCATCTGCTGATGGCCTGCCTGCTCCCTACCCAGCACCTCAGAATGTGGCCTTATTTGGAACTCAGGTCATTGGAGATGGTGCCAAGGTCGGACGAGGTTGTGCTGGAGCTGGGTGGGGGTGGGGTGGGGGTCTGCGTCCTTGCAGGAAGGGGAGGAGAGAGGGTGGGCTTGAGCACAGGGCCAAGGCCGTGTGAAGATGAAGGCAGAGGCTGGGTCGTTCTTCCATAGACTGTGGAACGATCAAGGTTGCCTGCGAATCTCTGGAGGTGCGGGGAGAGGCCCGGCCCAGCTGCTCCCTCAAGGCCCCCAGGAGGAGCCCATCCACTGACAGCCTGCTCCTGGACTTCCAGCCCCAGGACTGTGAGACGACACACGTCTGCTGTCTTAGCCGCGCCATCTGTGGGCCTTGGTCACAGCCACCCAGGCAAACTCACACAGCAGACAAGGGGCCCGGCTGCCTGGCCGCTCAGGTGGGCTTGGCGGGAGAGGGACCCTGCTTGTGTTGAATGAGGAGGCAGGGCGGCCCCTGGGCCGAAGGCTTGGGCTCCCCTGGGAGGAGTCGGAGGGCACCAGCCGCCAACGCCGGGCCCATTCAACGTGGGCTTTGGGGGGTCCCAGGGCGCTGAGCACGGGACCACGGAGGGCTCCAAAGACGGGCTGGCCCAGGCGTTCCTGTGCCTTTCTCGTTTTGGACCGCAGACACTCCCCCACACCAGCTTTTCGTTTTTGAAGCCATGCAAACGAACCCCAAAGGGAAGAAAGCAGTTAACGTCTTTTTAAAAGCGCTTAACTAAATGTGGTGGAGTCCGGTCCCTGGTCCCCAGGTCAGTGTGAGCTGCTAGGTCTCTGGGAAAGGGAGGCTGAGGGTGACCTGCCCGATGGCACATAGCACCTGGGAGGGAGGCTGAGGGCCAGCCAGGGTGTGGTTCCTGCAGAGGGAGGGCCAGGGCCTGCCAGCTCCTGGGCCCAAGTCGGAGTCACAGGGGGGTGGCTTTGCCTCTGCCCTGCTCCTTGCTGCCACGTGATCTGGCCCAGCTGACCTCCAGGAGGCCCTGGCACCCTACCGGAGGCCGCTCCGCCCCGCCCCACCTCAGAGAGTGAGACCCCCCCCACTGCCCTGGCCTCCCCCTGCCCAAGATGAGGGTTTGCAGGGCACCTAGCTGACGGGGCTCTGTCCCGACACAGACTCTGGCCCGCCGATCCCGGGACATCCTCGTCCACACCCAGCATTTTAAACCTCCTCCCATCTCCTCACCCACATGGTGCCCAATCCGCCATGGCCAAAGGCTGAGTCAGCTGGAGGTCTGCGCTCCAAGGTGCACACCTGAAGCCCACCTTCCGTCCTGTGTTAATTGCTGCCTTCTCTCCTTCCTGAAACATCAAGTCCCCAGAGAGCCCTCAGGGAGGAGAGGCTGTGAGCTGCTTGCAGGAGGGGACAGAAGCAGGTAGGATCCTGGGAAAAGGAAATCAGGAATGGGGTGGAGCCCGGAAAACACAGCACACTTCAGTGTTTGGCCTGGACCCTCCTACTTAGGTCCGGAGTGGCAGAGGCTGGGCAGGGCATCCCAGAGGCTCCGGGAACAGCAGCTTTCTTCCCCCCTCTGTTTGCCGTCACCCCCACCAGCCCAGCTCCAGCAGGAAAGGCAGCGGAGGAAGAGAGCTGGAAGGCATGGGGCAGCCTGTGACGTCAAGGGTCTCTGGGACTTCGCATCAAGAACCTGCAGGAATGGGAATGTAGAATGAGGCAGACGCTGTGGAAAACGGGAAGGCAGTTCCTGGAAAAGTTAAGCACAGAATGCGCACACGGCCCAGCATTCCCTCTGGGTACAGTCCCAAACGACATGAAAGCAGGGCCCTGTTGGGCACCTGCACACCCTGGCTCACAGCAGTGTTAACCACAACCAGCAAAAGGTGGAGGAGCCCAAGCGTCCATCGACAGGTGGATGGATTAAGCAAAACTTGCTCCATCCATGCAGTGGAATATTATTCAGCCTTGAAGAAGCGAATTCTGATACAGGCTAACAACGTGGATGAACCTGGAGGGCATTCAGCTCAGTGAAATAAACCAGACACAAAAGGACAAATACTTTATGATTCCACCTACGTGAGGCCCCTGCTGTGCTGAAATCCACAGAGACAGAAAGCAGGATGGTGGGGACCGGGGGTGTGGGAGGGGCTGGGAGTGAGTGTTTAACGGGGACAGAGTCTCAGTGTGGGACGAAGAAAAAGTACTGAAAACAGTCGGTTTACAGTCCCCACCCACAGTCCCACCTCAGCAGACGTGACAGCCCGGGGCCAGGGGCACCACAGGAGCTGTGCTCAGCACCTCACCGGCAGCATAATCAGCCAGGAGTCAGGGTTCAAGTGCGGCCGCCCACGGCCACTGTGGAGTAAGGCGGCCCTGGAACCCTGGAAGACAGAGCCAGGCCCGGCTACGGGCCCGGCGGCCGCTGGTTCCGACCTGCGGGAAGTCTGTGCTGTGAGCCTCCCAGAGCCGCGTGCGTGTGACCTACCGGGTGGCCCATCTGGTGGAGCTGTGGGAACGAACACGGGATGCTTTCAAATGTTAAAATGGAGACTTTGTGGAGACTTGTAGATTTAAAACATGCGGTTATAAAAGATTGTGAATGTACTTACTGCCACGAGGTTGTACACCTAACAGCAGGTGGAACGGTGAAAGGACGTAGAAGTCGTGGCAGTGCCTTGATTTCAGGGCTGGTGTTACTGGCCTTACTGTCCCCCCCACCAAAAGCAGAGTCGAGAGGAGCCTCAAAGGTGTTCAATATACGGTACTGAATAAACTGAGGGGGAAAAAGAGTCTGTAGGGCGTGGCCAGCTGGTCACCGCTGCCCGCGCAGAGCTGATGGGAGAGGCCGCCGGCTGGCCCTGCGCTGTGAGGCACCCTGCTCCCCCGGGCTGCTCCGCCCCTGCCTGCGTGAAGCCAGCAGACCAAGGACCCACGGCCAGCAGCGCAGCCCCAGCCCC